TACTTTAACAACTTCCAACCTAGCTACTCATTCTCGTAAACTTTCAGGAGAGGCATTTTTGGATTTTATTCAAGGAATGGCTGTTGATTTTTCAAGTCTAATGTGTAGGCGAAAGGAATAGTGCACGTCGTGATGCACTACCATCATAATCGTAGGGCTGTGAGGAGCTTCAGTTTACAAATTCACAAATAACTGCAGGGTCGGCCACAGTTTTATTATTTTCTAAAGTGAATGGTGTATCTAATTTGCGGGAGTTCAGCCCCCTACAAACAAGGCTATAAATTACAGTGTATTCAGAACTACAGCAAAGGGCGGCATTTTATCTTTTTCTAATCAGCGTAAATACTTTGTCTACTTGCGAGACAGTCATTTTCTTTGTATTAGTGCCGGTGTAGCTATCGTATTTTAGCCCTTACTTTCATAAGTATCACTATATAATGACAGAAGACAATAGTCAGACAACAGATCGCTTATTGAGAAAATCAACGGATATTTGTGGAATTTTGTGTACATCATTATTCGTTATTTTAGCAGAGAAGCAATGTCTTCTGGTTGGATGTTTTCCCGCTCAAGGTTATTCTGTCATCTCCTTGTTGCAGTTTCTCAAACAGTCCAGTGATATATCTGTGAATCGTATCTGCCCACGCTAATTTTTCCGTGATTGGTTGTTGAGTTCCTCAAAGTTAGGCTTTGTCTTTGTTTTTTCTCATGACCCCGATTCGGGACCTAAACACATATAAATTGTTGCTTACAGTTTTGTCTTGCAGGCGGCTCTCACCACTACTGTGTTATGTTCTGACTTAACATTTTTTGAATTAAGAAGCAAGTTTTTGATAAATGGTGTCCGGGTCGCTACTGCTAAAGTATATGTCTCAATCCAGGCCCAGGGTGAGGTAAGCCGATACGCCACACCTAGCTTTTCCGATATTTTTCCTCAGATTCGAGCACTTCAGTCAGTCAAGCTTAGTGTTTAAGGAAGAGATTATGATATTGTATCACAACCTGCGATTGGGTGACTGAAATGCATGCTACACAAGGAGACACCTTTCAAGGAAATCTAGGTGAGCTTCGGAAACCTTGGTGACCACCCACATGGTCTTACTCCATCAAAAAGTCGGTTGCGGTGGGAGAGAGTACTAATCAGTTCCCATGGAAATTCGGGCATGTCGAAACCACCTCCATTGATCTTTCAAGTGAAATCTGATGACAAAATATGGTGGAAGGTTTAATCCATTACAGTGAGCTATTTTTCATGGCAGGTTGACCGATAGACGGGAGCTAATAAAAGTGCGAGTCCACAGAAATTGTTAGGCTTGGATCTTACGCTTTTGAGTGATAAGGATATTGAACACAGTATTCGAAACACTCTTTTCTTTACGTCAGATCAAAAAAGTTTCAAGAAGCTTTATGAAGAGTTAAAAATCCAAGGCATATCCACATAGCTGTAGCATACTGGAATTTTCGCAGATCATTGACTGTAGGATCTGACACCCATAAATTGCATATGTAGCGTCAACAGACCCGTATAGAACGGGATTAGACAGGCACATATACTTATTAGAAAAGAATCAACATTGGCCTGAAACTTCCCATCCTCAACATGAAGTCTGAGTTTGAGCCAAGTTCAGAAGCCCACTCTATCAACGGATACAAACACCCAGCAGTGAACTGTTCTATGCGTCGGTGACACCGTGGTTAGGAATCTCGCCGACCATGTGTATGGTCCGTGGTTCACTCCCCTGCCAACGCACACCTGATATCCATGGTCTGCCTGCGAAATTTGGGCTACCGACATCACATGCTGAAAATTTTATACCTGTACCAAAATATATGGTGTGGAGTCAAGCTGTAATAAAAAAATCGTGATAACTTTAGGGCTTTTAGGAAACTGGTAACATTCCGGACAGAGGACAAATATAAACATCCAAGAGGTGCAAATGCACCAGTTACTTTGAAACGAACAGTCGAAATAGCAGACAAATTCGTTTCTCAGCTAATCTCGCCTAACCCTAATTCATCCCTAGCCTAAACAAAGCTTTAATGCTTCACTTAACCCTATTGTGTCCCCAAGCAACCTTGACGTCTTCCTGATTAAGTCAATTGGCCTAACTCCCCTTTAATCCGAATATGGCCTTAATCCTCTCGCACGTCTACCTAACAATCATCAAACATCCCTTTAAATATTAATAATACTTTTCACGAAAGTGTTTTCAAGCACATAGTGTCACCACCGGTTTTCACTGCCGGCTCCGATCAGGAGCTGCCAAACCATGAGTGTGATCACGCATGTTGCGTGTGTGGAGTTTGACTGCGCGTATTCCGGCACATTTCTTTATAATTCTCACGTTAATTTGTCTTAAAATCACCCCTCAATCTTACCAGTGGTAAAAACAAATAAGCCGCTACTTGCTTTTGAGTGGTTAGTTGTCGTGTGGTCTGCCTTATATCAGACTTATTTTTTAAATATGTGGTCCCCAGATGCAAGAATTTTGGTTAACCAACACATAAAGCGACCTGTTTTTATTAATGATAGAATGTGCATGTTCTGTCATTAGTGTATGCACAAATCCCAGCTAGCATGCCATTATAAGCCCTATCTTCAAGGACGGGGATAGGCAATTGGTATCTAACTACAGGCCGGTAAGTCTGACATGCATTATTGCAAAGGTATTGGAAACTATTATAAGGGATCAACTATTAGCTTATGTTGAAACTCATGGCTTGTTGGCTGTGGAACAGCATGGATTCCGACCAGGACGATCCTGCTTGACAAACCTACTTTTGGCTAGGGAAAACTGGGTTGAGGCCAGAGTTAGGAACCATCTGTTGGATGTGGTTTGTATTTATCTTAGCAAGGCGTCCGACAAAGTATCCCACTTAGGTCTCCTTAGTAAACTTAAAGGTTTCGGACTAGACCAATGCCTATGTGAGTGGTTTAGAGATTACTTACTGGATAGAAGGCAGAAGGTTAGAGTTAACGGTGTACTATCAGGAGGGAAAGCAGTATCCAGTGGAGTGCCCCAGGGAACTGTATTAGGTCCATTGCTATTCCTATTATACGTTAACTAATTACCAGGGACTCTTTCTTCATCTTCATTATTATTTGCAGATGACATTAAGATATGGAAAACTGTAAACAATAACGAGGATAGGTCGGCCCTACAAACTGATTTAGATAAATAAGCTGAGTGGTCAAGCCTATGGAGTTTGGAAATGAATGCCAGGAAAAGCGCGGTAATGCACTTAGGTCAGAAGTCTTATGCGTCGTACTCCCTAGGGGACGCAGAACTACCTGATGTTAACGAACAGAAGGACCTAGGAATCATTGTCAGCAATGATTTGAAGACAACTGCAAATTGCAATGCAGCCGCAGCTAAAGCATTTCGAATGCTATGGGCAATTCGGACGACTTTCAAACGATTAGACGAGGGCATGTTCCAAATACTCTACGCAACATATGTCATGCCTCATCTAGGATACTGCATACAAGCGACGAGTCCATGCTTCAAAAAGGAGGCGCATATTCTGGAAAGAGTACAGAGAGTAGGAACAAAATTAGTTAGTGGTATCTCACACCTTCCTTATGATAAGAGGATGGAGCATTTAAACATCTTCCCGTTATCATACCGAAGGAAGAGAGGCGACTTAATTTTAGCATACCGTATACTTAAGGGTGATTTAGGAACTGACCTTTCTAACCTTTTCTACCCTTCTAGGATACATTTACGGGGTCACCGCAAAAAGGTGCTCAAACCAAGGACGATTAAAATACGTGCAGAATTTAGATTCTCTCACAGAGTGGTCAACGATTGGAACTCCTTACCTGATTCAGTAGTATCAGCTCCATCGGTGAACGCTTTCAAAGAGAAGTTAGATCTCTGCAGAGATATACTTTGCAAGGATTAACATAGGCCACAAGAGCCTTCTATCCTTATCATCTGAATCTGAATCTTTCGGGCGCATTGCAGGCTTTTTGGGGCAAAAACTTCGGGTAGATCTACTTATGTGGGACAGTGTCCCGAATTCTGCCCCAAAAAGTCTGCAATGCACCCGAAAAAAATGCTAGCTGGGATGTAAACTGTCAAGCGACAGTTCTATGAATAAGTTTTTGAGATGGTAGCTGTAGTATTTCGGTGAGAAGAGCATCATATATGACAAAAAAGAAATTTTACTTGACTCAATTTCACTGGAGGATGACTGCAGTTAAAATTAAGCTTGTTAGTGGCAGTCTGTCATTCTTCATAGCCGATCGCACTACGCTGATCTCCTCAATCAAGTCAAGAGCAAGCGTTTTACAGTGCTCCATGGAAGGTTAACATTTAAGTAGTTGGCTTTACGAATATATATTACTGCGATAATAGTTATCTGGACAAAAAGTATGTATTAAAAATTTGCATTTCATAAATTTTTAAAGATGTACTGTGGCATACAGTAAACAAATAATGTTACATGATTTGGTTGACTGAAGTGTCTACCGCATGTAAAATCCTATTATCCCGTCCATTTTCCTATGCTCTCCGTATATTTCATCTAGTGAATCAGAGTTCCAAATTCTGTTGGGATATTTGATTGTTGGAACAAATGTTGGTAGTAAGTATTTGTTAGATATTATCCGTTTTCTAATAAGTGAAAACACAAACAGATGTGATCTGAATCATTCCTCACCGCACATTAGTCTAGCTGATTACTTAAGTTAGTGACATAAATAACTAGAAAGCGTCTCGAAAAATTTCTACTCTTCTGAACTGTTAGCAGGTTGGCTATATAAAAAACACCGCTCATCTCACTGAAGTCTAGTCTTGTTAGTTTTATTTGCGTATTTCTGCCACTGAAAAGTGTGAATCAATGAACTCTAGTGCTTAAACAAGTTGGAATCACTCATTGTTTAGTGTGATAGAGTTAAATATATAGGTTCCCAATTACATAAAGTCATGATTTATATCCTTTGTAGATTCTGGCCGAGAGACCAATATCCTAGTATAAACTAGGTTCAGTCTCACATGCCGAAGAACTGGAAGGAAGGAAGCTCAGCACAACCAAATTATGCATTACCTAACACACCTTTACCAAAAATCCCAAGTACTTCGAAGAGAAGGCCTCCTTTACCAGCGAATACGGCGGGCGATGATTTGATACAGCAGCTTTCGTCCTGTCGCATTTCCGCAGAAAGTAGTGGGCTACCTGCAGAATCCTCGCAAACTGTTAAAAGCTCAAACAAAAATAAACGTAGAAGTCAACAAAAGTCGTTTTCCGAAGCATCACAACAATGCAGTGAATGTCCGCAAACTGTTACACAATGCCTTCCTAACACCCAACCCAGAAGAGTACACCATCTCAAAAATGCAAATAATTGCACAACTTCTGGACGTTCTAAAAAGAAGAAATCAAAGAATGCATCGAACAAAAACCAAAAACCACTTTCCCCGCTGGACTGTAGCAAAAAGCTTGATTCTCCATTTGTAAGAGGATTAGAAGAGTTTATTACTGTTGACAGTCCTTCATCTAAACACTCAGTTAATTTAGGACGCGCAAGAGCCCATTCTGAAGGACATATTACAAAAATTGGTAGACAGCGTGATACACCTAAAAGAAAAACACCGTCTCGTCTAAAACGCTGTATTCTTAGCGAACGTGCTGTGCGCAAAGCCAAGAGAAGTCAATCTCTTCCAGCCACCAAATCTACCAACAAACTGGATAGCCCAAAAGTATTTGTGTCCTATATTAATTACTTTTCCTATAGCTCAGTAATTCAGACGTATATAAAACTCCCATTAAAAGTTGCAAATCTCTGTTGCAGATGCAATGTAATCTTATTTTGGAATTGATTACTCAACTAGCTGTATTTCAAGATAGGGCGTATGTAGTCAACGCTGATAGTCCGTTCCACCGTAAACGTGGTAGGCGTTTTGTGTGTGGTTTTCGTGAAGTTATTAAACATCTGAAATTAAAACATATGCGAATAATCATTATAGCTTCCGATCTAGAAGGGAAAGCGATTGATTTCATTTACAAAAATAAAGGTGGGTGATTTGTTTGATATATCATTGACTTGTTAGTGTATGGTTGCTTTTGTACCACCAGACAGATTGCGATGTGTGAGAAAATCGGTCGTTTATAAGTTACTTGATTTTATTATTTTACTCATTAAAGTGGTGAGAGCTGGACAAAATTGTTTGCGGTTTCAAAAAGACGCACCGATTCAGATTTTTCTGTTACCTCAAAAAAGAAGGATACAAAATAATAAGGAACAAATGGGTACAGTACTACGAAATTTAGACTTTCAAAAAAATTGAAGTAGTGGAGCCTTCTCCATCAGCGTATCAATTTACGTATTATGACAGTGTTAATGCGTAAGGGGTTCAAACGCCCACTTAACGTCTATATATTTTCATAAATATCAATCACTTAGAGCTTAAAAATAGACACCGTAGTGTTGTAGAGTTACGGTATGGGTTTGTAGAAGTCATCATTTTAATTATTGTAAAACAACAAGACATGAATCGCATCATTTCCCAATAATTCAATCATTTTGACCATTACCATTTATGTTCGTTGTCTGGTTTGTATTGTTGTGGAATTCGATTACTTAAGGTTTATTTTTCATTCCCGCTTACACATTAATAGACTCATCGCACTATGCAACGAGGGACATTATTAACAAGCTTCAAAACACTAGAAGAATTGGACTGCATCTTAAAATACACCATCCATTCGTCAGACATTATAAAGTTTCATGGAAAATTAGTGTTTATTAGATTAAATTTGTTGGAAACGGCACGTGCTCATATCTTCATTGTTTTTGAACCTCATAAGTATGCCATTTGATTGTCCAAGTTTTCCTCTGTATTAATAAGAAACATTCTCTTCATTTACTCTTATCCTCTTGTAATTTTAGGTGCTTTCATTACTTATAGAAACCATTGGTTGACATAGGGTAGATGTTTAATTGGCAACACTATGTAACCGTTGAATGTGTTTATGATCGACCTCCAAGAAATAAGTAGTTTTGAAACAAAAAAGCTGTCGATCACAATACAGTACTATGCCAAAGAATCTAGGGTATCAATCACAGTGTTGCATGCACTTATGAACAACCATACAATCAGATAAGATAAAATGTTAGTATTAAAGGTAGCTTGACAAGACAAAAAGAGAAATGTAAAAGTCAGACTTTCTATACCCATGTGATAAAAATGTGTACAACATGAGTAATTTAAGACTTGATGAAGTTGTTTCCAAAAGCCTATTTCAAAAAGAAAAAGAATTAAGACTGTGAAAGCAGAGTTTCATTTTTTAGAGTGGATTGACTCTGAGATGCCATCTAGTAAATGACACTGTTTCATTGTTTGATGTACAATAAATAAACTAATAAGTTATTTTATACCACCACAGTAGTTCACTTTTACTTTAGTAATAGAACAATGATTTGAGAATAATTTCAACATATTAATTCTGCTTGACCTACATAAAGTGCATAGTAATTATTCCTATTTTAGAAATCCTAGTAAAAAAAAATCAGGAGAATGATCGAAGCAAACAGTATATTCTCTCCCAAGGTAGATTTCATCACGAATTTATTTCAATAAGAGAATCATCGGAAACCGGGGAGTTATTTCATACTAGATTTCGAATATTCAGCACACCCATGACTCTACTAGGGTTCGAGCTCACTGCCTCCAGATCACAAGACAACCCAATTGATCACTGAGACATTGTGTTTCAAAGTGATTACATTGAATGAGTTTACCGCCTCGATGCACCTAGTATTAAAATCAAATCCCTACAAACTAACGCATGCATATTTTTATTTAAATTATGCTTATTCCCAGGCAGAATAATAACAAGGATTTCAGATTATGCAAATGATCGTAGTTATGGTTGCAGTAATGCCACTGGGGTCGCGGCTTATTAGATTAGAGATTAGACTTTCAGCCACAGAGTCACCTGTTCAAATACCGTTTTCTTCTATTATTATTATCATTATTATTAGTGTTCCCTTGGATTCCTAGAGGAACATAGGGCTTCAACTTCACGCCTCCACTTGCTTCTGTCTTCTGCTGTACTTTTCACCTGCATCCATGTTAGTCCATACTCTTTCAACTCTTCACATGATCTCCTCCATGTCACCCTTGCACTGACGTCCCACTCGCCGCTTCCCTTTCGGCCTGATTCCACTCGAGGAATGGCCTGACGCGCGCGCGATGTCACCCAGCGGCCTCCTCAGCGAGCGAGTGTCCAATCCATCCCAATCCACTTTCTCCTGCATATTTGTTGGGCGATTGGTTCTTGTTTTGTTTGTTCACAGCCATAGTTTCTTGTTGGTGATTCTTTCCGGCCTGGCCATCTGATCTTCAGTATAGAGCAAAGACAGTTGTTGATAAAGGTCTGCAACAGGCTGTTGGAAATATTCTTTGTGACCCGTTTTCTTCTAATATACGCATAATGACTTTAGGCATCTCTTTTGTTCGCCGAGACTAGGATTATTAGCTTAGAAGTCTGGAGGCTTAGTTATATGTAAAACAAGTAACCAATATCAAAGAGGTGGGGCAAAAGAACTCCATATGCGACCTACTTGTCCTTTTCTCAGACATGGAAGTATTTGTTCTGATTCATTTTGTCTAAGCTTTGTAGTTGTAGACCCAATATTAACTGTCTTCAGAAAAAACAGATTAACTGATAAACTTACATATAAATGACGAAGATACCTAGCTATCTTATCCTTTTGTCAAGAAGGTAAGCGTATTTTCACATTCTTACACGTTCATTCATACTTCGTTTAATGACTTCATTTGCCTTTTGGTATCATGCAACCCTTGTATTCTTTCCAAGTTTTAATCTAATTGATCTGTTCAAATATCTCTCAGTAGAAACTTATTTGCTTGCTAATTACCTTTGCTTACTCCTTGTCATTATCCGGTTGATAGGTTAGTCTAGTAGTTCGGTATCTTAAATTTACATGAATAATGAACAAAGCTTGAGAATGTGAACCTGATTAAAAGCAGTTCTGTTCACTTTCATGTTTTGTTTTAAACTCAGAGAGCTTTATATTTTATAAATGTTAGTATTAAAAACTACATGAAAACAATGTACACTTGGTAATAATATATTAATTTGAACTTCCAGTTGGAACAACTGAACAGGAGGATAAATCCAATGTAGGATTGAGTGCATTGGAAGAATTACTTTGTGAAATTCAGAAGCTAGCTGAAGAATATAAACCACCTGTACCAATATTTGTTGCCCATACTAGAAGAGCACTTGCACATATGTGTCACAAACCAACTGCTGTTTCAATCGTAGGGATTATAAACACAAATGGAGCGTATGAGATTGAGAAGAAGCTCTTAGAAATGGGATCTGTGGTCAACTTTGGATTATCAGGAGGAAGTGTACAAACTGGTGATAACAACTGTAGCTTAGACGATTCTATTGCTACTAATACTGTAAGTTTTATTTAAAAAATTTGTTTTCATATATTTCTTTCCTGCAATAATGTGTTGAAAAGCGTTCACGTGAGTGTTATATATATATATATATATCCAATGTATGGTCAAGGTGGATGGAACATCAGAAGCTTCCTTCCACTTGTAAGAATAAGAAGACAGCTAAAGCAACTGTCGTAATTCTGATGAAAATCTTTAGTTGACTGAAGAAAAGTTAGGGAGAAATTAGTAAAACCTTTAGAAATCGACTTAGAAACTTATTATCTTTCAGTACAATGATTTAGAAACTTATGTTGTGTAGTTTGTGAATTTTATAAGTCTAACGAGACACACAGTAGCTTGCTGCAGTTAAAAAAACACATAATTTTTCAAAAATAGATTCTCCAATATATGTCCAAACCAAGTTCACTTTTAACAGTTTGAAAAAATTTGGGCATTGGGTAGAGGATACTCATTTTAATAAAGGTGTTTTCGTATTTCTCAATCAATGAAAAACAAAACGATATTGTTTTTACTGACGTTTCGCTATTTAATGACTCTAATAGCTTTATCAATCGAAGTAGTGATATTAAACCGGAATTTACAAAATCTCAGCTCATATATAACAACTTAATTGTCGTTCCTCAACATGGGGTCATTTTTGCGTTGTCAAGTCGGCCAACTGGTAAAGATAACAAAACCAGGTGTAGATTATCGTTGGATTTGATAAGTGTGTAAAATTATACAAAAGCAGAGTGTGTTTACATAATGAAATCGCTTATCACATTCGTGTTGATTTTGTCACTTCATGGGGGTGGTGGGGTGTTGTAACCAGGTCAAATTCTTTTTTAGTCCATCATTCCTATTCGGACAATTTGGATTCCATTTGATGATATGAAGTGCTTCCGATGATATCAGACGTTTACTGTGATTTCTGAAATGCTTTTTCTGGATGATGATTTCAATATTGTCAAAATCAATTTTGTGGCGTGTAGACGACCTATGGCTGACTGATGATTTTTCAAGCTGTTTTAGTTCAACTGGATTTATTTCTCGGTGGTTGAACAGACACTCACTCTACAGTGTTCATTTCTTCTGATTTCGATTTCTCTCTGATAAGGTTTGTCCGATGAATATCGCATCACATTCCAAACAAGCATTTTATCTTATAGACACAATTAGATAGAGAATCTTTAGGAATTTGGTTTTTTATATGGACAAGGTTGCTTCGTAGTGTATTTGGTGTTTTGAGAAAAGCTTTGATGTCAAGTTTATTGAGTACTCTTCCTCATAAATCAAGAATAAGACTCGATGCGTAAACAGCAAAGTTAATATAGGTGAATTAACTTCAAGTTTTATTTTTTCCAAGTTATTTGTGATCCATCCAATGCACACCCACACACACCTGGGTTTTTTGTTAATGTAAAGACAGTATTTCTATATTTCTCAATGTGCTCCACTGTTGACTAGTTAATAGATTAATCTCACAAACTAAATATAAAGTAGAATATCGACATGGAGTCACCCAATGTCAAGCCAACCCTTGAAAAAAGTACTACTATCCAACTTGCATGTTTCCTCATATATTGCATTCCTTATTTTTATAAATCATTTTAGTTGTCGAATTCCTGCTATGTTGTTTTTCAGGATGAATCATTTTTACTGTGAACTGTATGAAACTAAACTGAAAATCTTGGGGCAATACAAATTGAAAGTACCTCCCCTATAATCTTCGCTTCCATGAAGTTCTTGTGATAAACATGTCTTTTGACTCATAAATACACCCTTTTAATGATTAGCGCCCTGTAGTTGTTCGAAGTTTCAAAAGTTCTAGTTTTTTCACCTTAATTTCTTTAAAATCAAATTTTTGTATGTACATTTATTTTTTGTATTTTTCTACAACTTCTAATATATTGTGCTAAACTGAAATATTTTTGTGTTTTCAAAAATTTCTTCATGAAACAAATCAGATTATCACCTTTTATTGACGAGTACTATTTTGACCATTGATATTACACTAACCACTGACACAGGAATTCTACTTTGCTACAAGTCATCGATAAAAGGGACCCTTGGTAAATCACCCCTGTCTCCAGGATACCCATATGAAAGTCAGTCATGCTCTAATTTGCAGACGTGTTTTCGCGACTCAATAGAGGTGAAAACGAGCATCCGATAAACGTGATATTTGAAAAGTAGCGTGACAGTAACACTCATCTTAAAGAAGCCTGGTACCACGCGACAAATTTAGAAACAGCACTAGAATGTATTCATAATGAGCGCCGACCGAAAGCTGCTACCTTGACGTGGTGGTCGGGCTTGAACACCGCAATGACCTAATCAAGCTATACTGGCTGAGACTTATGTCTCTTGAGGTTCTACCATGCCAGGCAGGTTGTTTGGATAGCGGTTAAACAAAAAGCAGCTACCTCATCCAATACCATGATCCAAACAAATTCACAAAATTTCATGCCGGATCGGCCGTGGCCCGGATTAACAACGACCGCGCTTCCTGCTGCCGTGTCACAGGGCGGGAGTGATAAGTATGCTACTGAGGCACACCAAACAAAAGAACGAACAAAAACAGGCCGCGTGTGACCGGCCTCAAGCAGTTGTCCCCTGGGCTCTGCGGTCACGCAACCAACTTCCACGGTGTGGGCAGCCGGGAAGTAACAATCGCCCTCACAATCCGAAATGCACACAAAACCTCTCTAATCCTCACTTATCTTTGTCTTCATCTTCATCTCTATTACCTTGCCTTCCTCCCACTGATGCAACTCCTCTACTTGATGGCTCCTCACTCCCTCTTCACTCTGTGTCCACTAAAAACGACGAAAGCCAAAAAACCACCACGGATAGTCTCCTAAAGCCACGCCACCAATTTCATATAGGAGCATTTAATGTTAGGACACTTTGCCAAATAGGACAACAAGCATCACTAGCTAAGACCCTGGCATCTGAGCCATTGATGTATGTTGTGTTTCAGAAACACGCATACAAGACCCAAGTGTGGTTATTCACCTAACCCCACCTGGCCAACAGGATGAATCTTCAAAATTCACCTTGAGGGTGTCAGGAGATGCCACAGCTAGTTCACGAGGATTAGCTGGCGTAGGGATAGCTTGAGTACTAGGGCAGAAAAGACATTGCTTGACTGGATCCCAGTAGATAGCCGAATGTGTGCTGTCCGTCTGAACGGATCAGTAAGAAGGAGAAAGGACTGCACTACTCGCCGATGCCTTTTCGTAATCTCCGCCTACGCCCCCACTGACTGCAGTTCGGATGAAACGAAGGATGAGTTCTACCAAAAGCTGTCTAGTTTGGTGAGAAAGGCTAAACGCTCAGATATAGTCGTTCTAGCTGGTGACTTTAACGCTCAAGTAGGGAAATTGTGTCAATCTGAGAAGGATGTCGGTGGCACCTATGGAGTTCCGTGCCAGCGAACCGACAACGGTGACCGTCTCCTACAGTTCTGTTCAGATAATCATTTGTTTCTTGTAAGCACTAACTTTAAACACAAGGAGAGACACTGTTTAACCTGGCGACCCCCATCATCAAACCAACGCTGGACACAAATAGACCACATAGCAATAAGCTATCGTTGGCGTGGGTCGGTAGGAGATTGTCGCTCCTTCTGGAACACGTGTGTAGATACCGATCACGCACTGGTCCGGGCTCGTGTGTGCTTACGACTGAACGGACGTAGGAAACAGCTGGCGGTAAAACCATCACGTCCCCAGCTCGATCAGGAAACTAAATCCCTATTTGAGGAAGAACTAGCTAAACGCATATCTGAATTCGACAGCTGTGCTCACCCTGGAGAAGCCTGGAAGAATATTCAGTCAGCTATAGATACAGCTGTAAAAGCTGTGAATAAGGCAAATCCAAAGGTGAGTAAAAACCACTGGATTTCGACTGCCTCATCCGAACTGATAGATGCTAGAAGACTTATTCCGGCGAGCTCCGAATTCAATGAGGAGCGAAAGCTGCACAAAAGGAAACTTACTAAAAGTCTCCGCAAGGACCGTGAACAGTGGTGGGTGACAAAGGCGAAAGAGATGGAAAAAGCATTGGCGATAGGCAACACTAGGCAACTCTTTAGACTCATCAGGGAATCGGGTGGGAGAAGGCAATTCATAAGTGAGACTATTTCTGAGAAAAATGGCTCCTTAATTAGCTCTCAGGATAGACGCCTTGAACGCTGGAAAGAACACTTTGAGGACAATTTAACTTGCCTACAGCCACACTGAACCTCCCCGCCATCCACCACGTACCCGAATGGGATATAGACACTGGTCCGCCGTCTGTAGGTGAGGTTACAAAAGCTATCAGTAATTTGAAACGAGGCAAAGCGGCAGGACCCGACGGAATTATTCCGGAGGTGTTTAAATATGGGGGTGACATACTAGTTTGTAGATTAACTGAGGTACTAGGCAAAGTCTGGGAATCAGAGACAGTACCATCAGACTGGGGTAAGTCACTTATTATACCGATATTCAAGAAGGGAAACAAGTCCTCGTGTGATAATCATAGGGGGATCAGCCTAACGAACATAGTCTCTAAAATCCTAGGCTCAGTAATCATGCATAGACTAAGCAGAACTCGGGAGGAACAGACAAGGGAAAATCAAGCAGGCTTTAGACCAGGTAGAGGGTGCATAGATCATATCTTCACTCTTCGACAGATTCTAGAACATAGACACACTTTTCGGCGTCCAACAATTGTCATATTTCTTGACTTGAAGGCGGCCTTCGACTCCGTGGATCGAAAGGTACTATGGCAATGTCTGACTGTGAAGGGAGTGCCAAGAAAGTACATTGCACTAATCAAGGCACTCTATTCAAACTCACGTAGTCGTGTAAGGGCTTATGGGGAATTGTCATCTGAATTGGTAACAACCAGTGGTGTCCGACAGGGATGTCCACTTTCCCCATTTCTGTTTAACTTCATCATAGATATGCTAATGGAAGTATCCTTAACTGAACGTAGTGACTTAGGAATCGACTTGTTACCAGGGAATAATCTTATGGACTTAGAATATGCAGATGACATAGTCCTGTTAGGGGAGGATGCTGACAAAATGCAGAGTCTTCTGAACACCTTGAGCAGCAATCTTCGTATGTTTGGCATGCGATTCGCCCCTGCAAAATGTAAGATGCTGCTACAGGACTGGACCACGTCAACCCCTAACTTAGTGATAGGGAGTGAAGTGATAGAACATGTTGACCACTTCACCTACTTGGGAAGTTGTATTAGCACCAACGGACTGATTGGCGATGAAATCTCAGCACGGATCCGAAAAGCTCGAGCTGCTTTCGCTGACTTACACCATCTCTGGCGTAGGCGTGACATCCGGTTATCAACCAAGGGACGTGTGTACTGCTCATCAGTTCGCTCCGTCCTTCTCTATGGCTCTGAAACATGGCCAATACGCGTTGAAGACATGAAAAGGTTGACTGCTTTCGATCATAGATGTCTGCGATCTCTGTCTCACGTTAGGTGGTTTCACAAGGTAAGTAATGTTGACGTTAGGCGTAGAGTGTTGGGCAAAGAGGGAAAATCAATCGACGAGGCTATAAAGTTACATAGACTAAGATGGCTAGGTCACGTGCTGCGCATGCCTAACCACCGCCTCCCCCGACGGGCATTGCTAGCTGATATAGGTTCAGGTTGGAAAAGAGCCAGTGGTGGCCAAACAAAAACATGGCATCAATCCATGAAATCCTTGACAGTTAAACTGAGTCAGGTAGGGAGATGCAGACTCCCGGGTTGGGGCCCTCGGGACTCTAGGAATCAATGGCTGGAGACAATAGGTGACATGGCTCAAAATCGTTGTCAATGGCGCAGATGTATTCAGTCTCTGTAATCTTTCATATTCCTTTCTACCATTACCCATTCTGTTTCACTCTTATACTTGTCAAACTCTATTGATTCTCTTCACTCATCTTCTTGTCTACCTCTGTGTGCTATTTGGAACGTGGCAACTCGAACTGCTGCACTTCGGTGCCAAGTTCTATGTTGAATCCAGACAGACAGCAGACGTTAGTGGGTAAATTGAGGAAAGTGGGGTTGAGAAGACTTCGATTTTTAAGTAATCATGTTAGTTATTAAGGCTTACTGTCGTGGATCTTAAGTGAGTTGTGAATTTAACGACTTTCGAGAAAGACTAGTCATTGATAACTTTTAGGGAAAGCTGTTTGAGATAGAGCAGCCCAGCTGGCTTACAATTACCTGTTTTTCAAATCCAGTTTGAATGCGATGTTCACGACTTCCATCCTACTATAGTGTACTTAAGTTTGTAGCACCTCTAATCGAAAATAAAACACAGTAGCTATTATTATTGTTGTCTCCTTGGGTTATGAGTGGAACATAGGGCTTCAACAGCGAATCAATTTGTCGTATTCTCTGCTATCCTCCTTAGCTGGCCTCACGATTGCCCACCTCCTCCATATCACTCGTCGTTTCCCACTCGGGTTTTACTAGAGGGCCTGGCGAGCGATTTCATTCGACATTCTCCTCAGCGTGTGTGCCATAATAACTACTAGTGGTTCAAAATCGGCCATAACTTTCATCAGATTGTCACAGACCTTTGGTGATGTTATTTTACAATAGAGGGATACAACCTTCCTGCGATAATGATAGGAAAGTCGGCCTAACCTATCTGATATCCGCTATCCACAGTCACTGAATGTTAAATGGACCTAAAGATAAACAAACTAAAACAAAACCCACATCTACTAATTGAGAGCTGGTGATATTGCTTGGGTGCCAAACCTCAGCAAGGGGGACGCCAGTCTGATCTGTGAATCACTTGTGAAGAAGTAGCCCAATTACTCTGCTTCTTTTCGAAGGGTTCGAATCCTGCCTCATCTACCTCAACATGAGCAGTATTGTTATCCTCCACACAATAAGCAGGGGTTATACGCAAGTACTTTGGGAGGCTGAGTTCTAACTGACTTATCTGTCGATATTCTAATATATAATTCACTTATGAATGCCGATAGACACATCGAAACATGCTGAAGTCGTTGGCTGTTAGTTCGCACCTTATAGTGATGCAGGTGTGTGGATTGTGTCCAGATTATCCTGAAAATTAATAAGTAGGAACTCCAAATTGTTTACAGTGGCGCAAATTTAACTTCTTGATGTTTTTCACTATGTTTATTTTCTCCCTCTTTTCAAGTAGCAAGTATCCTGAAGCACGGTCAGAACGTCTACACTTACACAATAGATAACCATTTCGCTGACATCATTTTAACCACCTCTTAGATCACAACCGATGATTCTCTTACTCAAGGGATCTTTTAGACTACACGTTCGGTAATATTTTGCGGTGCAAAATCAGGGATGAATGTTACTCCTGAGGCACGTGCAAAACCAAAGCAATGATCCACTCAACTATTGTAGTGAACTTGAGCGACTGGTAAAATCAAAGAGCTGTGTATAAAGTAAAAAATGCACTTCAATTGAATAAATTTGCTGTTGAAGAACTACTACTCTTTTGAAATACGTGCTATAACTCAGACAATGAGTATTTCTGCTACAGAAAATTTGAATTACTGAGAAGTGCATTTCGAAAGTAATCTGAGTAAACATAAATCCTAGTGTTTTGAGCTTGATCGTCTGGCATCAACCTCACTTTTCTGACAGATTTCCGCCCCCCCCCTCCCAAAAAATGCTCAGCTTCCGATAAAGTATTTCTACTCTAAATGAACACATCTAGACTCCGCCTACATCCAGCAATTCGACTGAAAGTATCACGCATTTCTCAAGAATACCTCTGAAATGATTAGTAGACGGCGAAAGCCATTCTGTTAATTTTATTGACAAGGACAAGCAAACAATTGGGAACAACTACTGTCGCCTTCTTAACATAACACGAGGGTTCCTGAAGATAATACTTTGGCGGACTAAAAAGAGCACGCCATAATTTGATTTCAGAGGTATTAAAAGTTTGACACACGTACTGGATGGTAGTGCTTAAGCATAGGAGTGTTCTTAGCTGTTTGATCGATCTGTCAGTTTCTATAATGAATATTACAGTAGCAGAACCAGAATATAACTCAGTATATAAGATGATAACTTGGATGATGTGATGTCTATGCAACGCTATTTTAGTCCACTATATATATTTCACAAAGTTAAATATTAATATCCCCTGAATAATATTCGCAAATAAAATTCATGGCCTGTAATCAAACCACAATGGATATCAGTTAATAAAATCGCTGTTGAATGCATTCTCGGTAAGAATTACGAAAACCTTCAGTGACCTTCTTCAACCGAATAGGAATGCAGATAAACAACTGTTCTGTATAATACACTGGAGAAATATGATTTCTAATAGCGAATTATCTTAAAAATGATGACCTTCTGCATCTTATTGTTTAAACCTTCATGGGCACGAATAAGTTAAATTACTCTCTTGAACAAACAGTTCCATACTACTTCTACATAAGTTAAGTTTACACATTGATACAACATTAATAACTGAATGACGTTTCCAACGCAATTTATTCTTCATAATTATACCGATGTATTCACGATTAGTGAAGACCAAGGGCGTCTGTATCGGCTTTTGTGTATGGCGGAGGCGCTGGCAATTCATCAATACAACCCGGAACTCTGTGTACAGAAAAAGTTTGTCCAGTCTTTTATTCTACCTTGGTCTTAACCTCTTCATTAGTCGTTCCCTGTAAAAAAGATTTTTTCTTTTCTTTTTTAATTTTTAACTTTCAGTCTGCTTTTGCTTTAATAATTAATTCACTATTATCACTCTCATATGCTCCTTTTGTATATTTTCACACTTGTTAAATTGATACTCAAATACCACCTTTATTCTCACTCAATAGCAATTTTAACCTTACCAAATTTCTATCTTCGTGCCGTTGAGTACCATGTAATTTACAACTTTTGACTTTCACTTCTAAAGTCACTTCTGAGTAATTATATCAATTATGTCACCCCCTATTACTCAATAATAGACCACTATATATATATATATATATATATTTTTTTTATTTTTTATTTACAGCTTGATTACACACTGTATTTTCGGTACAAGTATGGAATTTTCAGTATGGATATCGGTAGCCCAAATTTTCAGGCCGACCATAGATATCAGGTGTGTGTCGGTGCGGGCTCGAACCCCGGACCATGTGCATGGTCGGCGAGAGTCCTAACCACTGTGCCACCGACGCACATGAATACGACTGTACAGCCTCTGAAGATGATTTTGTCGATAAAGAAAATTTTCTTCGCTGAATCTGTCTTTTACATTTGATGCTGATTTAACGAAGAAAGATTCGGTCAACAAACAAACAGATACAATCGAAATGATACAACTTCCCATGCCGGATTTATAGAGAATTGCAACAGAAAGCAACAAGGAGTAGGACCATATAAAACTAGTTATACATAATCAGAAAAAAACTATCTAATAGGGGTCATACTCTACCACAGTGCCCGCATATATGACTTATTCTCAACAGACTATGCATATAGCAAACAGTTGGTGATTAAGGAATGTATACGGATTAATATATATGTGAAGTATGGGTGAGTAGTATTACAAAGAAAGAGTGATTAACAGTGGAAAAAATTTATTTGAACAATTCTTCAGTCCATACGCATCTTTAAATCGGAAATGGTGACGGCCTCTTTTTCTCTAGAATAAAAACAAAATAAAGAAGTGAAAGTTATTGGTAATGTATGACAATCATATTCCTCTTAATTCTTACTGGTGAGTAAAGTAGTCATTTGTTTGAAGAACAGTATAAGTACTATTTAACTAGTAAATATGTATTCACAATGCAATACGCCTACTTTTAGTGTTTACTAATTCAATGAAATTTCAAGAGACATACAGTTTAAGGCTTCAGTTCACACACTGTTTGGTGTTATCGAAGTCTTTTCATTTTAAAACACACTAATCTTGACTTTACCATAAGATCAAATTCTCTACTACCTGAAAGGGCATCAACTTCGTATATTGTTATAGACATGACAAAAATTGGGTAAAAGGTGGATGTAAGTATAGAAATTGGACAGTGTAGCGTAGTAAAGTAAATAAGAATGTCAGTGCGCAATATTCATTTTCTAGGAGTAGTCATACACACAGTTTGGTGTTTTGAAGGATCTGTTAATCTCCGAAAATTATTGCTGTATTTGGCTTTTAGAAGTAGTGATAAAGAAATCGTCTTATTATCCCCAGCTCAATTTGATACTAGTACTCAGTCGTTTGTATAATGATGCCGTAATCTTAATTTAGTTGTGTTCTCTGAGCTGGTTGATTTAACTGTGGAGCTTTCGTTGTCCTCCTAGAGAACATGTTCAGCGCAGGTTTTATTATGATACCCTAATTGTAGTTGTGGTTTATTAGTTAAGCAGTCAACAATCGGAGACAATGTCAAGAGCTTCATTCCAAATACCGACATCTAAACAGTTAAGTGGTATCATGAACTCTGACAAAATGGATGACAATTTAGTGCCCCAGCATACCAGAAACCCTATATCCATTAATAATCAGGTTACCAACTTCTTTTATTGCCACGGTAAGTGGAAATATGTGAAGAGTTTTAATTTATTCTCCCTCACATCAAATTAAGGGGAATAGCCCTACGTGTAAACGCATAGAATTAACACAAAGGCAAGCACATATAGAAATCATACTACTATGCATAGAAATGAATATGAGAGGTAAAAAATAATCAAATGAAGACGGTCAGAATTTCAACAACAAAAGTTGAAAACATCTGTGCCATTATGAACCAGTTTGGGTTATCTCATAACGTATTTAAAGCTTTCACTCAGATAGGGGTAAGACGGTGGGTGACTATAATTCAAATGTACAATTTTTCCCGGTGTTATCTCCAACTTCGTGACTTTGTTCAGAGAATACTTATAGATTAATCTTTCTCATATAGTTTCACCTTTCTCTCTTCTTTGCACGTGTTTTCAGTAAGTCTAAATTAGTGATAAATACAGTTGACCACTTTCATCTCTTTTGTTACCCACTTATGGTTAACGTTTAATCAGCTTCCGACCCACGATATGACCGGATCCATTGTAAACTAGCGTTCTTGCAAAAACTGTAGTCAAAATTAATGCATTTGAAAACTAAGACACTTTATTTCCTACTCCGATAGAGATAATTCGATTAAAAGGTACCACATAGTGGCCTAATAGATTCTTATAACGCTTATATCGTAAAAGAAGATGCCTTTTAGTGGCCAGACCATAGTTCTAATGACTTGCCATCTATCTGAAAATCACTACACAGAATCAGTGAACAAGTAACCGTTTTAATTTGAACAACGATTGCAGAAAGCAAAACTAGGTCACTTAGTTGTTCCCAAAGTCTACTTCGCATAGCTGAATAACCTTTTAAACAAAATTCGCTGCTTTATTTGGATGTAACAAGTAAACAGTCCATGAACAACATTTCGATGACTGATTTATATTGTACATACATCTGAGGCAAAAAATTTCATCACTACTTTGCCATACGATAGGAAATGATACAAATTTGCAATCGTACACATGAAAAAATACAAATTATGAGGCTTATTTAAAATTCCAAGCAAAATAGACTTACATCATGTAAACTCGAGCACCCCAACCAGATACAGCATCACGATTAAGAGCATTCAAAATACATTGTGAAATGCATTCGAACAGCTCCTTTGAATTCTGTTGAAAGTAGTAAGGAAATGTCAGCAATTTAGATTAATAATAACAACTTGTTCACTTTACACATGTGTATCATATCAGAACACTTCCGAAATTAAGATAGAAATTAGGACAAAATATTATGCTTATTTAATTTCACCTAGGCAATGAACAGAGTATTTCTAATTGAAAAAACCGTAAATAAAGCCAAAAACGGTAACGCCACTCTACGCATCGTTATCGAACAAAGCATAGACTGTCAGTCAAACCTCATTTACCTCAACTTCATCAACTTCGAAAATGCCTCCGACAGACAGCGTTGACGGCGTGCTGTGACCAAGTCTTGACCAACCTCACTCAACAGCTCACTATATGACAATGCTATGTGTTGGGTAATCCACAAAGGAGAGCTCAGCGACACATTAGGAGTGAATACGGAGTAAGACAAAGCTCCCTACTACTATCACCGATGATATTCTCAATTGTGATGGCCTGGATTATACATCAGACTGTGAACAGGGAGCGAGGAGATAGGAATACGCTGGACCACCGGTAAGAAGACTAGAAGGTCTGGATTTCGTGTGTGGATGACATGTGTCTAATGTCACACAAACTCGAAGACTTACAGGTGAAAACCAACAGCGACTCCAGGTGAACATGGAGAAGACAGAGTTAATGAAGATAACCAACGAACAGCAACCAGCGTCAATCACCATCAACGGGAGAGATTTAACAGAGGTTACTTCCTTCACTTATCTACGAAACACCCTCTCAACTGCAGGTCGAACGGATGAAGATGTCTAAACCAGCCAGCCAGAATCGGAAAGGCAAGATTTGCCTTCATCAACCTGAAACCATTTTGGAGATTTTCTGCACTCACTCAGCCAACATAAAGAACAAGAGTCGGATATTCAACACCAATGTGAAGTCAGTTAGCGCTTCTATACGGGTCAGAAACTTGGCAGGCGTGTCATGAAAAGGATTTTCAACAGCTTGTTGCAGACTTTCATCAGTAGCCGCCTTCGCCGGCTTCATACTGCAGATCAAATAGAAAGAATTCGTTACAAAAACTCCGGGAAAACACTAACCAAGTGCCGATCGTTCAACAAATATGCAGGAGAAAGTGGAGATGGATGGAGCATATATTGCCAGACCCTCGAGAGGAATCCCAATGGGAAGCGACGAGAGGGTCACCGCTGCGATGGTGGCATAGAGGAGATAATGTGAGAAGAGATGAGAGAGTTTGGACAATCAGTTGAAGAGGATGGCAGAAAAAAGGACAAAGTGGAGATGTGTCGTTGAAACCCTATGTTCCATTAAGAATCCAAGGAAACAATAATAATATAATATAATGAAACCTTGATGATGATAGCGCCAGGTGTCATTGTTCGCTTGATCACTATTTTTTTAAGTATAAAACCCTACTGCTTAAACCAAAACTTGTCACCTATTGGCGATGTTGCATGCACTTAACTCAAGGTGCTTCAATGAACCGTATGATCATAAATGTTCATATACAACAAAAGTGAGCAGGCAATCGACATATACGACAATCTTAAAGAAAAGACGTCTATCACTAGAAATGTGACTCTCCCTTAAGCCAAGTAAATAAAACCACGTACTAGACGGGAAACTTTAATAGCTGACAACAAAAAGCTGTAAATATGTACCACTACTGAAGTTCCACAGTAGCAGAAAGAAACAAAAGGTATGACGTACCATGTCTTTTTCCCAAAGTGTTTCACACATCCCGTACATCTGATCTGTACATGTTCCACTGACAACGAAATCGTCTGCTTCAAGTATGCAACCAATTAAATCCATTGAAGCAATATACGGTTTGTTTGTAGTATGGTCAATGCCAGCAACTACTGGTTCCACAAAATATGGGCCGAACCTATGCTAATAAAATATGCTCTATATATTTACCTGCGTTCATATAACAAGTTTGACAACATAGTAGTGATAGTTTGAGGTTTGATGGTTCGATTTTCTCGCAACTCGTACATGTTTTTGCGAAACTGCAGGCGTTGAAATCTAACAAATCCTAAACAAAGTACCACCGAGACTTACACTGTTTGATTATCCGTCGCTAGGCCTGGAAATCCCACGTACAATCTCGGGCCAAGAGGATATACTTTTGTGAAATCGCATGAAATTGTTTGCAAATTGACACCAAAACGGAGGTCACATGCAATGGCCGCACAGTCTTTACCAGCCATCCCTATAACAGCAGACCCATTGTGTGCGAGGATACTCTACATGGTGTTATTACAAAAAGCAACCTACCATGATTTCCAACACTAAGCGAACACAATGCAATTCACCGCCTGCACATATAACCTAGACAGTACTACAATAAAACCAAGATAACCTCAATTCTTCTTTTAGTTTAGTGATAAATTCGAATGGACAGTCACAGATTTCTAGAAGAATCTTTTTTGAAGAATTCGGTCGAAAACCTTTGTGAGATCCATTAAGATAACTTAATCCCTTGAATTAAACTTAGCTTCCCAAGTTGGTTAGACTAACAGCACTGCAGTTTCAACGAGCATCTGGATACCCACTTTTGGAGAGGGATTTAGGTTGCATCAAGCCATAGTACTTCACATGTTGTGAAAGCTTCAAGATTCTGACTACTGGGACGTCTTTATAAGCTTCCAGATTCTTCAGCACGGCTGGGCGAGGATCATAGGGTCCGGAGCGGTAAAAAATTCCCCAAAATTATTGGCCATAGGAATAGATTATATCTAAGAGAATAATTACATCGCGACCATAAGAATAGTCAGTGAACATTGGATGCTGACCCTTAGAGTTTAAGTCGACTTGTTAAGCTGAAGGCTTCCCGTCAGGCATCCGCGTCATTTGGTACTCCGTCGTGTCACTTTCGTGCACAATAACTGGCTAGCTTAGCTTCCGCTTCAATCCGCGATTTGGTTCCGAAATATATCTCGTAATCCTGACAATCAATTGTGGTGTTTTGCTTTACCTTTGGTACACGAGAAACAAATAAGATAGAAGTTGTAGGTATAAGATCTTGCGTTAATATACTCCTTGTTGTTCGCGAAAGTCTATACCGTCAGCCTCTAAGCTGGTGAGCCCAACCGCTAACTTCATCTTCGACAAATACGCAGATAACCCCGGTGAGTTCGTTCCTTTTTGTATTTGTTCTTGTACTGTATTTTATTCGACATACTTTTCGTCATGAGTGGTCCTAGTCTCAAATTCATTCGTATTCGCTCAACTCCTAAAACCTTCCGGCTCCTGATGCAGCCGGAGTTTTTGCTTCGGGTGTTGAGGACTGGTGTGCGAAACCTTGGAGGCTTAATATAGCACTACATCTCCCGATTCTCCGTCTCCGTCTGTAGGTGATCCGACTTAGGACTCGGTGATGCATCCTGGTCCTAGAGTTCATGTATGGAAATAGTTCCTCAGGTGTTTCTCTTCCGTTTTAAGCTGGATGCTTCTCTCGTCTACCGCCTATTCATGGTGGCGGCAATGTCGTCGACCACATCAAACTGTTCATATAATGTGTTACGGTTGATTGAACTGACTCTACGAAACTTTCTCACAAGTTTCCAGACCTTTAGTCCATCCGCGTGATGGGTGTGCTGATATAATATCTTTTATGTCAGTTTTTTACACGTCTGGTTTGTTTGGGGTTTTGAACCGAGACGCTGTGGTAGCTGTGAACAAAAACTGGTCACAAGGTGGTGGCTTCCTCCTAGGGATTGAAGATAATACATGAATTTAACATCTTCACTGTTAGAGAAACCAGCCTAGAGGTCAAACAGTAGTGCTAAGAACCATAAAGTGTTTATTTTTGAAGTTATGTACCACACCTAGGGAAATAGGTCTATTAGATTGTACGCGAACGAATGGTCTCAGAATGCTATTAAATTCCTCCAGTAGACAGATGGAACATTGGAGCAATCAGTTGTAAGGAACTGACACTTTTTTTGTCTGAGTGCCTTATTTCGCTACGAGTCTTTTGTTACGTAATCAGGACAGCTGTAAACTTCTGTCACATCAGTGTCTTGTCCAATTCATTTTAGTTGGTAATGCTTCAGTTCTCGTCAGTTTGCACTAGTTGACTCCTTCGCAGTTGGTCTCACGTCCCAGTCCTAATCCTGTAGTGGTGATATCGTCTGTGTTCTCCAAGTCAGACAGGCTTATGTTGTTTCCCCTCTTGTGTCGGACAACATCTCTCAGTTGACTTGCCCTCTCTTTTCTACATCACTCCGGCGGGACCACCAATCATGAACATTATTTCTGAGGTCGCTTAAGTCTAAAATGGTGTCACCTTCTGTAGAGAATTGAGCAGTTCATCAGTTTCCCTGGTCTTCTCCATTAAAGAGGACTAAATATATTATGGTTGAAGTTTGATGATGAGGCTTCATGAGATTAATGTTTGACTCTACCATTATGCTGGAGACATCTTCGATGTCATAGCGGCGGTCACCCTTAAATTGAGATAACACACCTTTGTCCTCAGAAAGCCCACTTGTTGCATTCAACACCACGGTAGTTTCCCAAGTAGGGTGCTTTTTAGAGCAACAACAATGTTTGAACTTTCAGTGCGCGAGATGGATGCAGAGACGCCTGTATACTACCGCTACGAATTGGTGCGCCCCTTGTAAAACCTTCAGTTGAATTTATCATCAAGCATGCCATCGACCACTAGGAAGCAATAATAATGGTATATTCTCACTTTTGTACATGAGGGACGCCAGTTTGCAGGTATCATCAACACGATAAATAACATTCACTATTACATTGGTGCCGTCCAGGTAGTGATTTGGATTTGTCAGCATGATCAACATATGGATGAACATCCAGATGTGCACCACAACTTGTTCGCCGTTCAGATTTAGTTAATTATATCTCATGTTGGGTTTGATTACTCTATGATTTTGACATATCCCGCAAAGCGTCGCCGTGATCATGGAAAGTGTACGTATGCTTTAAGTGCATTACTTCGTTGACTCCTACCTCCACTGAGCATATACAACGAGAACTGCGGATTTATGTAGTTCCTTGCTACTGTGGATAGAGCTTCACTGAACTACCCCCAGCAGTGGCTTTTTAATAGTCATTTTCCAGGTGAATCAATAGTTGTCACCGAAGGAATAAATGAGGATTGTGAGATAAGAAAACCTGATCACCGTAATGCTAAACAAAATTCTTATCTAAAATAACAAATCAGGGAAACCAAGATACTCAACAAGTGTTTGAAGGAAATTTTTACGAAAACCTGAGGTTCAGTTTACCTGAAAACCCTGTTGGTGAATGCCGCAAGAAAATCTACAATTAAATGGGTGTGTGAAAAAATTTACGCCCTTCTGAAGTTCACAGTCCTGTTTTCAACAGACTGGTGCATTTGGCTGGTGCAATACAGGATCGACTTTTGAAATAATGGTACAACTCTTCTTCTGAGGGTCACCTCCACATGCCGATTACACAGTGAGGGGACCGATAATCGAAAGGTCTGTGATACGTAGTACGTAACTTATGTTTGCATAATCCTGAAGTTTTACATACTGAGCCTCATCGGCAACCAGAAGTAACATTCGCAGACACTTCATATCATTACCTTCCGGCAAATCCACTAAGAATTAAACAGGTGGAGATTAACTGTTTTTAGTTTTCCTGAAAAATGCATTGAGGTCTCGGAAGGTCAAACGTGTACGATTGTCTCAAAGAACCCCTCGCCGAAGATGTTGCATTTGCTGACCAACAGAGGGTGCAAAATATTTTCATTGCCTCGAAAGACAAAGCAGCTGATTTCATTCCTCGAACAACTGTGGCGTCAGATATTTCCACAAACAATATGAAGCATTCAAGCATTGTATAATTACGCCTTCTCAACGAAGTTAACTTAAGCGGTTGGGAGAAAGGTGGATGCTATCCACACGGGAGTTTCAGAAGCAATGGATAACCACAGCTGATGACACGAAGAGGCCTGCAGTTCCGCAACAAGTAAATCACTGAACCAAGATGTCATAACTTGCATCGTTAAAATGCCTTGGGAGGTAATCCAAATCATGAAAACGACGCATGCCATGGTCTATACTAACACCATAAGCTTTATACTGACAGGAGACTCAGTCGTCGAGGAAATTCTGTAACAAAAAGTCAGCAGAAGCACAATGTGGCAAACGCGGTCGCTAAATCTTTTGCTGAAACCCTTCCCTTTAGCTCCCTTTTTGAAAAGCGGGAGTTTCGGAAAACACCTCCCTTTCGGCACTGGAGCTGTCAAGGAACTTATCACTAATTTCCTATTGTTACGAAGACGCCCCGCACCGATAAATACCATGAACTTTTTTCGACTTTAACTCCAAAACACCGGTATTGTAAGAAGGAAGTTATATTGTTTGGCAATTAAGGACGAGAATAATACGAGTCTATAAACAAATATTTTATACAAAATTATTCGTTTTTGGTCGTCCTCGTCGAACTTGTACACGATCGAGCCATTCGCGCCTTCGAGTTGCTGAACAATGGCTGCCAGTTCCAATCACAAACGTTCAGTGTTCATCTCCATTGACAGTGGTAATAGCTTACATTTTCGCCTCTCAGCTTGGGTCCGCTTACAGTCAACACGTCTAAATCTACGTGGCCCATTTCCTTGCTCATCACGACTTGCAGTCGAAAATTCCCCCTTTTTTGAACCTTGTTGTTCATCCAGCTAGGCTTTCATCATGAACAGTTTATCCACTGCTACTATCAGTGAGAGTCTCCTACAGTATTAATACCAGCTCACAGATCTTGGCAAGTGCGAGTTGATTAATTCGGTCACAAGATTTTTGGTCCTCCTCTTGTCACATACTAACCCGCCCAGTTCATCTCACGTCATTTATTTTTAGTCCTGACACACACTGTCATCAAAGTCTCATAAACCGGTAATGCCCAGCTCTCGCTACGCTCGGGCCCACGCTGTTCCTTTGAGTTTTCAGAAACGCTTAGTTATAACGGACGAAAAAACCAAAACACCAATTGTTGACTTGAGTATTATGTATTGTTACACCAGCATATAAATCAAGTATCACTAAGCAAACTAAGAAAACTAAGGTCTGTAAACAAATATTACAATAATAAATCGTTATGTTACTTCTGACGATATTTAACTCTTCTTTCTGAACAGCGACCGATGAGACGATGACTGTCGTATTGATGCCTCCGCGAAAATTGGGGAAGTTGATTTTGAGCAAACAACCAAGAATTGATCGTTCAATCTTCAACTCCATTGACACTCCCCGGCAAAAAAGGGATCCAACCCTTTTTTCCTTCAC